TTGACAGAGATCTATCGAAAAAGGTGTGTGTGGATGGGGAGGAGCCTGTTCTTTAAATAAAAAAAATTAAAAAAAAAAGGCCTCCAGGAAGAGGTCCTGGTGGACAGTCCTTCCTTACCATGCCGAGCAGCTCTATTGTTTCTGTCCGCAGCCTCTTAAAGGTATAGGCACCCAGACAAGCATTGCTTTACTGAAGCCATCCACAGCACCCGTGCCAGCCGTGCTAGCCATGTCCCAGACTCCAGGCCCCCCTGGCCCTTGTTGGGACAGTGAAGAGGTCCCATCCAGAGGCTTACCACACATAGGCAGGTTGGCAGTGCGGGGGGGGAGGCACGTAGGGTGAAAGTGAAAGACCATTTCAGTGATGTAACAAAATCTTTATTTTGGAGTGAAAGATGTAGTTTGTATATAAACAGTGGAACAGTAAAAAAGAGAAAGTTTTGTTTTTAACAGTTAGCACATTTTCCTTACTGATATTGTTTCTAATAAACACCCAGTTTTCTTTGTAAACAGATATTGGTTTTTTATATATTCTTTATGGGAAGAGGGTGAGGGCGAGGGTGGGCCCGGCCAAGCCTCCCATGGGAGAGACCCTGGGGAGAGTCAGTGGGCTCCTTCAGAGAATCTCTCCCTCAGGGCCTTCCTGCCGGGGGTGGGGACAGATGCTGATGGGGAGGGGAGGCAATTTGAGCAGCCCCAGACAGCTGCCATCTGCCAGGTTCACTAGGGTTCCCTAAAGCGGGGGTGGAATCTCCATCCCTAGAGGTCTGTGTCTACACTGGCACCTTTTTCTGGAAATGCTTAAAACAGAACAGTTTTCCGTTATAAGTATTTCCGGAAAAAGAGCGTCTACATTGGCAGGATGCTTTTCCGGAAAAAAGCCCCAATCGTCATTTTCGCGATCGGGGCTTTTTTGCGAAAAAGTCTACTGGGATGTCTACACTGGCCCTTTTCCGGAACAGTTTTCCGGAAAAAGGACTTTTGCCCGAGCAGGAGCAGCATAGTTTTTCCGGAAAAGCAGCTGATTTCTTACAAAATCGTCACTGCTTTTCCGGAAATTCAAGGGGCCAGTGTAGACAGCTCGCAGCTTATTCCGGAAAAGCGGCTGTAGACACAGCCGAGGTGTTTAAGTCCTGGTTTGACATAGCCCTGGCCGGGTTGATTTAGTTGGGATTGGTCCCCCTTTGGGCAGGGGGCTGGACTCGACTCCTGAGGTCCCTGCCAATTCTAGGATTCTGTGATTCTCTGCTGACTATTCTGCCTCACGGGTTTTCAAAGAAATGGCCGCACTGCGAGGAGACGGGGAGGTCACAGAGGGGACCACATCAAGGCTTTGGGACTTATGGTCTGTCAGCCGACGGTCAGGGCTCCCTATATCTGTCCCTTAAGACCGGCTGAAGTTCTTTTAAATTGTGCTTGGTTCTGTTACAGCAACTGAAGGAGTCAGGTTAAAACTTAAACAGTTACAGGTTTATTAAAGAAGCTTATATATCATATGGTTACAATGGCTATTGCTCTATTTCTTAACTACTAGCAAAATATAGATACTGCTAGCAAAATATAGATCTTAAAAATGGTTACAAAGAAGATAAAGATAGAAAAATAGAAATAATGGTACCAAGTAACAGCTTACTCTTTCTATGTGTACACTTAAGACAGAGGACCACATCCAGGTACAATTTTTACCCCCTTCTGTGCCTCTCGACTCCAGCATGTCAGGCCAGGGCCGGTCCCTCAATTCCTAGGAAAGACGAAAATACGAGGTGGGCGTCCCCATGGAACCTCGGGAGGTCAAACACCTAACCCGACCAGCAGGTAGAGGGTAG